TCAACTGCAGGTCCAGTTTAACTTGTAAAGTCAGATCAACTGCAGGTCCAGTTTAACTGTATGCCCAGTTTAACTGTATGCCCAGTTTAACTGTATGCCCAGTTTACCGTAGACCCAGTTCAAGTCTACAACTGGTTTAACTGCAGGTCCAGTTGAAATGTAGAACCTGTTCAACTGCAGGACCATTTTAAATGCAGATCCATTTTAACTGTAGAACCATACCATACCATACCATACCAATTTATTTATATAGCACTTAAAACAGCAACAAGGCCAACCAAATGCTGTACAAAAGAACACAAACATGCACAGCGGACAGGAAAACATAAAATAGAAATACAGATACCACTTCAACTGCAAGTCCAGTTTAACTATAGAACCAATTTAACTGCATGCAGTTTACTGTATACCCAGTTCAAGTCTACAACTGGTTTAACTGCAGGTCCAGTTTAAATGCAGAACCTGTTCAACTGCAGGTCCAATTTAACTGTAAAACCAGTTCAACTGCAGAACCAGATTAACTGCATGTCCAATTTTACTTGTAAAGCCAGATCAGCAGGTCCAGTTTAACTGCAGACCCAATTCAAGTCTACAACTGGTTTAAATGCAGGTCCAGTTTAACTGCAGAACTGGCTTAACTGCAAATCCAGTTTAATTTAGACCCAGTTGAACTGGTTTGAATGCTGGTACGGTTTAACTAAAAGTCCAGGTTTGTCTGAGCTTCAGTTCACACTTCATTTGGTCTTCATCCATGAGCGTGCTTGGTCCAGAGGAAGTCCTGGTGGACACTGCGTCCTGTCCTCTCAACAGTAAGACGCTGGACGGTGGTGGAGTTTCCTCCTCTGAGCCCAAACAACAATCAGAGCCGAGCAGACAGGAAACAGGAAGTGGCTGAGACAATACAGCTGCATTCTTCAGCTGCTGACGGAGGAAACAGTCGTACATAAAGTTTTCCTCATCAGGCCAGGGAGCGCTTTGGTCACACATCTGCATCAGTCACGTGGACCTCATGTTTCCACCAGCACCACCGTGTGGCCTCAGGAGGCACCTTCCAGATGTGATGCAGAGGTCAAAGGTCAAAGAAGTGAAGCAGATTGTTCTGTGGCAGCAGATCAACACATTCCACATCCTGCAGGAGCGTCCTGAGTGTCTGTGGGCCGCTCTGAACTACTTCCTGGTTTTATCCACATTTCATTGAGAAAAACAGTCAAATAACTGATGACTGCAGGACGGAATGTGACAGAATGAAATAAATAAATACATAATGATTAAACGT